GCACACGCGCACACGCGCACACGCGCGCACGCTCGCACGCGCGCGCGCGCGCACGCGCGCACGCGCACACGCGCACACGCACACGCACACACACACACACACCCACGCGCACGCGCACGCACACCCACACGCGCACGCGCACGCGCACGCACACGCACACGCACACGCACACGCACACGCGCACGACCACGCGCACGCGCACGCGCACGCGCACACGCACACACACACGCACGCACGCACGCACGCGCACACGCGCACACACGCACACATGCGCACACGCCACACGCACGCACGTACACGCAAGCACACACACGCACACGCGCGCACACACATGCACACACACACACACACACGCACACACACATACACGAAAAAACACACACACACAGGCACACGAGCACACATGTACGTACACACGCGCACATCGACTATTCTCGCCGGCGGCGAGGCAGGGCTGGCGCACACCACGCACCACACACAACACACCACACACCACACACCGCACACCACTCACCACACACAGCACACCACACACCACACACACCACACACACACACACCACACCACACAGCACACAGCACGGACCACGCACCACACAACAAACAACACACAACACATACCACACACACACCAGACACCTGACACCAGGCACCAAACACCAGACACCAGACACCACACACCACGCGCCACATACCACACACCGCACGCAACACAACACACAACACACAACATCGCATAGCCTTCACCACACACCAACACAAACCAACAGACACCAGCACACACACACACCAACACCCACCAACACCCACCAATACACGCCAACACACACACACACACCAACACACCAACAAACACACGCCAACACACACTTACACAGTCCAAGGCACACCACACACACCAACACACACCAACACACCAACAAACACCAATACACATACACCAATACACACCAACACACACCAGCACACACCAGCACACACCAACACACACACACACACCAACACCCACCAACACCCACCAACACACACCCACACACACAAACACGCACATACACACTTTTTTTCTGCGCTGGCGGCTAGGCAAAGTGACCGCGCTGAAAATGAAGCGTTGGAAAAAAGGTACAAACGCGAATTGGGCCACCAGGGCACACACACACACCCACACACACCCACACACACCCACACACCCACACACCCACCCACACACCCACACGCCGACACACACCCACACACCCACACACCCACACCCACACCCACACCCCACCACACACGCACACACACACACCACACACAAATCACGATTACACACCACACACACACGCACACGCACACGCACGCGCACACGCATGCGAACGCGCACGCACGCACACGCGCACACACGCACGCACGCACACGCGCACACACGCGCACACACGCGCACACATACACGCGCACACACGCACACGCGGGCTCACACCCGCACGCCCGCAAGCACGCGCACACACCAGCACACGCACACCCGCACACATACGTACACCCACATACACACACCACACACCCGCACACACACCCGCATCCACACCCGCACCCACAGCCACAACCACACCCACACGTACACCCACACCCACAGCCACAGCCACAGCCACAGCCACACCCACACACACACACCCACATACACCCACACATATTTTCCCAACCAACTGTGGTGTTCGGTCCTCGTTTTGAAGAGACAGCGCCCCGCGTTCACTCTCTCCTTCCTCTTCCCCGTCCGTCCTCCCGTAGCCCCCCTCCCTCCCTCAGTTGGCAAACCCCTGAAACGATTCGTGGCCCCAAAAAGAATTCCACCGACGGTCCCAGTGTTACCGCCCGCATGCGTCCCCTCCACCCAATGCAGCGCCGCTTCGTGGCCCCATAAGGATCTCCACCGAAGAAAGTCTCAATGCAACCGCCGCATGGTCCCCCCCCCCCAAAGTACAGCGCTTCGTGGTCTCACAGGAACTTCTACCGAAGGCCGCGATGCTACCGCCTGTGTGCGCCCCCCCGACCCAATATAGCGCCTCGTGGCCTCACAAGGAATTCCACCGAAGGTCCCAGTGCTACCGCCCGCACTCGTCCCCCCCACCCAATACAGCGCTCCGTGGCCCCATATAGGGCCCCACCGGAGGCCGCAATGGCACTTTCCGCATGCGTCCCCCCGCCCAGTACAGCGGGAGCTCCACCGACGGCCCTAGCGCTACTGCTCGCATGCGTCCCCCCCGCCCAGTAGAGCGCTTCGTGGCCCCATAGGGAACCCCACCGACGACCGCAATGCTACCGCCCGCATGCGTCCCCCCACCCAGTACAGCGTTTCGTGGCCCCGTGGGGAATTCCACCGGAGGTCCCAGCGCCACCGCCCGCATGCGTCCCTCCCACGCAGTTCATCGTTCGTGGCCCCATATAGAGCTCCACCGACGCCCCTAGTGTTACCGCCCGCCTGCGTCCCCCCCCACCCACCCAGTACAGCGATTCGTGGCCCCATTGGGAACTCCACCGAAGGTCCCAGTGCTACCGCCTGTGTGCGTCCCCTCCAACCAATACAGCGCTTCGTGGCTCCATAGGGAACTCCACCTGCGGCGCCAGTGGCACCGTCCGCATGCGCCCCCCCCGACCCAATGCTGCGGCTTGTGGCCCCATACGGGGGTCCCACCGAAGGCCGCAATGGCACTTTCCGCATGCGTCCCCCCGCCTAATACAGCGTTTCGTGGCTCCGAAGGAATCTCCACCGAAGGCACGAGTGGAACCGTCCGCATGTGCCTCCCCCACCCAATACAACGCTTCGTGGCCCCATAAGGCCTTCCACAAAGGCCCCAGTTGCACAGTCCACATGTGTTTCCCCCACGCACTAGAGCGTTTCGTGGCCCCGACGGAACTTCCACCGAAGGCCCGAGTGGCACCGTCCACGTGCGTTTCCCCCACCCAATACAACGCTTCGTGCCCCCATGGGGAGCTCCACCGGAGGTTCCAGTGGAACCGATCCCCATAGGGAGCTCCGCCCGAGGCCCCACTGGCAAACTTCGCCCCCGCCCAGTACCGCGTTTCGTGGCTCATAGGGAACTCCACCGAAGGCCCCAATCCCCAACCCAATACATCGCTTCGTAGTCCATCGGGAACTCCATCGAAGACGATACCTACAACTGCGGGGCTTACAACTGCATATGGTTGGGTCCTTCGCTAGCCTTGTTTTTTTTGGGGGGGCAATCGCAGCGCGGCAGAGGCGAACCGCTCGTGCGTCCAAGCAACCCGGGCGACGGCATTGTGAATTGTCCCGCGTGCGAGAGGGGGGGGAAGACAAGAGGCGGCCGCGGAGGCAGGAGGCGAAAGAAAGGAACGCACTCGCGCCGCGAAGCCGCGAGGGGGCGCGCGGGGCGGCCGGGGCCGCAGGGCAGCTCCTGGCAGCGAGCGCGGGGTGGCGTCGCGGGCGCACCCAGGGGAGGAGCCAAGGCCGCAGTGCACGGCGGATCCCAGCAAGCGGGGAGCAGCGGGAGCGGCGGGCCGCCAGGGAAGCGGGCCGGGGGGGCGGTGGGGGAGGGCAGGCGGCGGGTGCGCAGGCAGGCTGCGGTGGACTGGGCGTGCGGCGCCAGTGCGGCGCGGCGGTGGCGAGGCGCGACCGCGGCGCGAAGGGGGTGTGTCGAAGGGGCCAGGCGAAGCAGAGGGGCGGGAGAGTGCCGAGCGCCCGGCGACCGCAGAGCGGCGCGTGGAGGCCACGCAGAAAGCCAGGGGCGGCGGGGGGGCAGGGTGGAGAGGCAGATAGTAAAACCCAAAGCTGGAGCACGCATCGCAGCCAAGGACAGGGCGGCGCCCAGCTCACACAACACACACACACAACACACACACGCACGCACACACACGCACACACACACACACGCACACATACAACACACACACACATACAACACGCACAACACACAACACACAACACACGCAACACAACAAGACACACAACACACACACACGCCGACACAGACGGATCACACAATTGAATCCCACAATGAATATTCTGCCGCTCCACGGACACTTCTCCACCCTCCACTTAGCGTCTCGTGCACCTGAACCGCATGCCTCCGACACCCCACAAATAATGAATTACGCAAGGTGCTTTGACAATGGTCGAAGACTGGGTGGAGCCGCTTTTTAAGCTTTCCATATTTGCCGGCTTCTTCAGCAGTCTCCTCTTCCAAATCCTTGAGGGCCCAGCGTGCAGAGAAGTGAACTGCCAGCTTATGCAAGAACGCACTGCGGACCAACGTGATACGCCGTGATTTATGCAAACAAATGCGTGCTTCGCCTGGCATGCCATCGACTGCCAACTTAGTAGGACAAACAACGAGTCCGCTGAAATGCAACAGACCTACCATTCACATATAGAAGTCATCTGGTCATCTGTACCTGCGAGAAGACACATGAAATCAACAACTAATTTGCCACGCAACGAATGAAATCCATTCATCACCCGTCCAAGCCGACCCGCGTAATCCGAAATCTCAGCTTAGCGCTGCCGCTTCCTCGTCTACCTCGCCGGCGCCGACGAGGTTGTTGAGCAATACAACTCGAGTCGGAGGCCTGCGGCGTCGTCAGCACAAGAAGCGAAAGAGTTGTCTCCTCCTCCTCCTCCTCCTCCTCCTCCTCCTCCCCTCCCCTTCCTCTCCTCCTCCTCCTCCTCCATCCCCTTCCTCCTTCTCTCTCTTCCCCCTTCCTCTTCCTCCCTGGCCTCCTCCTCCCTCCTCCCTGCTCCCCCCTCCCCCTCTCGCTTCAGCTTCCTTTTTTCCTCCTCCCTCCCTGATCCCGTGCCCTTCCAGCTCTTCTCTTCCCCGCCTCGCCAGCAGACGTACCGCTTGGGCAGGCAAGGCGATCCGCCTAAAGACTTCCTTTCAGCTTGCGACAGCACGGCTGACATTTCCTTGCATTTTACGCATGAAGCACAGCAGGGCTGAACCGAAACGGTGTTTTTCGTTTTCGTCATGTTTTCGTTTTCCATCGTTTTGT